TGTCAAGAAAGTCTCCAATTTCCAGATGCCCTGCTCTATTGCAACCTCTCCACTCCCCCTTGCAGGCTTCTCTATTGGATCCACAGTGCAGTCTCACACCAAGGGAATCTGGATGTGGTGTGTGCCTCATCCCAAGAAGTCAAACCACACTCTAGTCCTTCTTGACACCGAGGGACTCGGAGATGTAGAGAAGGTCAGGAACAAGGATTCCTTTTTTGATTAACCTCCCCACCTCTGAACATTCTTTACACAGGGAAATTTGTTTTTCATGGTAATTCCATTTGACCAGCGTATATCTTTTTTTTTTTTCCCCTGTCTATTTTTATTAGTCAAGGTTTGGAAACTTGAAGTGAGAAAAATATATTTAAAAGCTAGATCATAATTGGCAGACCGCACTTATGTGGAACTAGGCTACACGTTTGATTGATGTGTAGTTAACCAAAATGCAGAAAGATGGTGCAAATAAAATTACTGTTACAAGTCTGATGCTGCAGAGAATAGTGATTAGCAGTAGGCTCTGGGTCAAAGAAACTTGCATTCAAATCAGGGTTCTGGCACTGGAAGTTCTCTGACTTTGACAAGCAAGAGTAAATCTCCCCAGATCTTTTCTTTTCCCTTTGGTCTTATCTAGCTAATCGTTTGAACAGTAGATATACAGGCTTTTTCCACTTCTATGCTGGTAAATGTTTAACAATCAGTCTACGGGTCAGGGTAACACCTTGATTTGTAGCACTTGCCCATTTTCTAAACACTCCCATCACAGCTGATCCCAAGCTACCAAAGTGACCTCACTAAACTCAGGGTTCAGAATAGATGTACACAATCAGCTCTTGTGAGCTGGTATGAGCTGGCTCTAGCACACCAAAGGATCTTTCCCTTGAACTTCCATTTTGTTTTATGTTGTCATTTTGCTTTTGATTTGTCACCAGTTCAAAATGGGCAACCTCAATTTGTGCTCTAGTTTCCTCATCTGTGACATGGAGATAGTAGTTATAAAACTTTCTCATAGCATTGTTTTGAGTTTAGATAAGATCAGTAATGTGAACTGACCTGTGTATAATAACTACTCGATTAAATGGGCAGATATAAAACAAAGGCCACGTTTGTTTTACACAATTGAAATTTTTGATTTTAAGTATTCTGGTTACCCCACTAACTTTGACTATCCATTTTGCAAATACCTAAATAGTTATAAGAGGGACTGGTGAGTTAACAACACATAGTTCCATATAAAATTATCAGTGCTAATGACAGAACTATTCTATTTAAAGTTCATGTTTCTCACAATCATTTTTGTTTGTCTTCTTTAACATTTGTAAGTCAGGAGCCTATTTTTAATGACTGCTTATCTGAGAATGCCATGACAAATGACTTAAGTGTGTCCTGACTTCTAGGGTGACAAGATGAATGATACCCAGATCTTTGCACTGGCAATACTACTGAGCAGTACCTTTGTATATAATACCATGAACAAAATTGACCAGAGGGCTATCGACCTACTGCAGTATCCTTTTGTGGTCCAGGGTGGCACCAAAGCCAGAGAGAACTCCTCTATTCCTCAGCTGTGTTTATGAGTCTGTGAATCAAACACAAAAATAAAAACATGATAAACATTACAAGTACAAGAAAAAAAAGTCCTTATATTTACTGATGAAATGAGGAATTGGTTATAACCCAAAGGGAACATAAAGGTATAGGGAGGCATGGAATTAAATATGGGCTTAGATGCAGTCCTATTTCCACCAGTTTTCCTTAACTGCATCTCAGCTATGCGACAGAACTGTCAAATCTGCTCAGGACAATATCCTCACCTGATCTTGGTGGGATTGAAGATGCAGCTGACTTTGTGAGCTTCTGTCCAGATTTGGTGTGGACTCTGAGAGATTTCTACCTAGCCTTGGAAGCAGATGGGCAACTCATCACAACAGATGAATACCTGGAGAATTCACTGAGGCAAAAGCAAGGTAACAGGCCCTTCAGTTTTGGAAAGAGGGAGAAAAGTAACACAAGAAATTATCTCGTGTGTTGGTGGTTAAATTTATAGTTTCCTATATTTATTCATCTGGCTAAAGTACCAAATAAATAATTAATACTATTAATTTAAAGTGAATTAATAGATTCAATATTAAATTGTATTACTCCCCTGTTCTTGGAGTAAATTACTTTTCCTTTTTCCTTTCTCTGATTGGTTACCTTTTAACTTTTTGCTTAGGGTTTGTGAAGATATATTGAAATAAATACCATCGGGTGGAAAGCACAATTATTCATGGGAAATAGATTAAAATGAATGTTAATCCTATACTAAATAAATCCAATTTTTCTTTCCCTAGGCACCGATCCAAGTGTCCAAAATTTCAATTTGCCCCGGCAGTGTATACAGAAATTCTTTCCAACAAAGAAATGTTTTATTTTTGACTTGCCCACTCACCGGAAGAAGCTTGCCCATCTTGAGACACTACGTAATGATGAGCTGGATCCTGACTTCGTGCAACAAGTGGCAGAATTCTGTTCATACATCTTCAAGCATTCCAAGACTAAAACTCTTTCCGGAGGCATTAAGGTCAATGGACCTCGTGAGTACCTTGTTAAAGATTTTCCTTCAATTTACCATAAAGAATAGGGCACTGTTCTAAGTTTCTCCTTCCAATGTCAATGTTGAAAATACATAGTCAGTTACTACCAAGAAAATCATATGTATCATATTTATTAAATTCCAGTGGATATTAAAAATATTTCTACTGCTTTTTTAGTAATGCCTCCAAAGTAGGATAAAACAGGAATATAACCTGAAGAAAAGGTCAAGTTAAAGAATTTCTACCCATAAGTGGCCCATTGTTGAATTAGACTAACCCACATGGGTTGGCAGCATTTGTTCCACTAGTACAGTGAATACTTATTATGTGTCACAATTTTTGATAGGCACAAGATAGGGAAGACAATACATTCTCTGTAGAAATGGAGTTTACTTGATACAAATATTAAACAGACAGAAGCCCAAGTTGTTTAGAATCCTAAAAGAAATCTAAGCAGATTTCTTGGTCCAGGTTTTCCTAAAGAATCTATGTCTCAGAACTCTGTAAATTATTGCTACACTCTAGAGGGAAGTTGAGTGCAAACAAAAGTTGCGAAGGACGAGGAAGACTGACAGGAAAGTTCCAACAAGCGGGAAAGGCCACCTGGTCTAATTTGCTCACTTTTGCTTTTTCAGAGGAGGAGGGTAACACTCTTACCAGCTTAACATACTGAAGGGAAGAGAAGAGGGAATTCTGAAGGGAATAGAAACCCGAGGAAGAGGGAAAGAAGGAGAAGAATGAGGAGGCAAAAGGCCTATAGCATTCTAATCAAATGAATATGCATAACTCTATATAACCATTTCCTCATTTCTCAATGGGAAAAGGATAAAATGTGGATGATCACATAGATCATGAGATTTCCCCTTTGAATATTTCTTTTCCCAAAGAAAGAAAGGTCTGGTTTCTTGGTCACACAATTTCCCCAGGGAACTTATTTGGGTCACTTGAACAGTGTGCAGAATGCTGGAAAAGTTCAGGCAATGCATTGTTACAGTAACATTCTCAGAATCGCCAAGTTAAGAACATGCCCTATTTCTCTGCAAATAATACAAGCATCTCTTTCCCCTGTGAAGGACTAGAGAGCTTGGTGCTGACCTATGTCAGTGCCATCAACAGTGGGGCTCTGCCCTGCATGGAGAACTCAGTCTTGGCCTTGGCCCAGATTAAGAACTCAGCAGCAGTGCAAAAGGCCATGGCTCATTATGACCAGCAGATGAGCCAGAAGGTGCAGCTGCCCACGGAAACCCTCCAGGAGCTGCTAGACCTGCACAGGGCCAGTGAGAAAGAAGCCATCAAAGTCTTCATGAAGAACTCTTTCAAGGATGTGGACCAAAGTTTTCAGAAAAAATTAGAGGTAATTAATTTTGTTTTGCTCTAGTTCATGGGGCTTACAGGCAATAAAAGGCAAAGTATTCTTCCTTTTTTTTTTTTTGCAAGGGAAGTTTCGCCTTAAACTGTCATCTGTTGCCAATCTTCCTCCTCTTTTCTTCCTCCCCCCACCCCCTCAAAGCTCCAGTACATAGTTGTGTATAGTTGTAAGTTCTTCTGGCTACTGACAGATGAGTGGTGTGGTTCCACACCTGGGAACCGGGCCAGGCCACTGAAGTGCAATGTGCTGAACTTTAACCGCTAAGCCATCAGATCTGGCTCAAAGTACTCTCATGAAAGGCAAAAGGACTTAATTAAGAAAAGCAATTTTTACCAGACTGGAAAATAATGACTATCACTTATGTGACGAAGCTTTCACTGTTATTTGAAAACAAACAAACTAACATGTGACTACTCTGAGACCTATAAATTCTGAAACTTACACACACAACTCACCTTACCATGTTACACCCACGGACTAATTTTTCAAAAGTGCTCTTGTTCCTTAAAAAATTGTATTCATGAAGTATTAATAAACTTTCCTTTTTTATTAATCAAGCATACGGAAGTGCCAAGTGGATTTACAAAAAGATTATGTCTTCATTTTAAAAGCATGCACTCATATCATTCTAGCCAATTATTCCATTTCACCTACTTATTGGAAATCCCAGGGCCAGTATAATACTGAAACCAAGAATGGTTGTAAAACGATAGGTTGCATTTAATATTAGGGTATGAGGCTAGAGACCTGTAGTCTGAAGATCACATCTAAAGCAGAAATAGTAAGAGAAAGAGGTTTCAGGAGATTTGAAACACAAAAATAAGGTCGTTTTTCTACAGTGTATCATCCTTGGAACTTTTCTAGGTTTGTTTGAAAGGATATAGTCTTACTTGTAGTCCTGTAGTTTCTAGAAAAAATATAGAGATTCTTTTTGAGAATCATTTCTAGAGATACTGAAGTGTTGCTATCATCTTTTCCATCGGCCTTGTCCCTTTGAAGACTCTGCTAGAAGCAAAACAGGATGATTTTTGTAAACAGAACTTGGAGGCATCATCGGATCGTTGCTCAGCTTTACTTCGGGATATTTTCGGTCCCCTAGAAAAAGCTGTGAAGCGGGGAGTTTATTCAAAGCCAGGGGGGCATCATCTCTTCATTAAGAAGACAGAAGAGCTGAAGGCAATGTACTATCGGGAGCCCGGGAAAGGAATTCAGGTATCCCTACTTTATGTATTAATTCTGGGAAATTGTTGTGAGGCTTCTTTCGAAAACCATTGAAGAAAGGAAGAAAGTATTTATATTCCAATGATAGCTGTGGAATTAAATTGAACTGTCACCATAATCACCAGACTTTTATTGCAACCATTGACGTTCACTGTAACAAAGGGACTTTTTTGGTTACATAGGACTGAATCTCAATAATTGAAAATAACTTAAGAAAAAATGGTAATTCATTGGCTTACATAAACTAAAAGCAAAACGTTTAAATTTAGTGACAAGTATAGCTACATTCAGGAATTTAAATGTCATCCATTTCCCCCCTTTCTTCTTTCTTTCCAACACCACTTCCGTTTTCTGTTCTGTTTTCCTCACTGTTGGCTTCATTCTCAGGCAGGCTCAGCCCACATAGCAGCAAAGATGACACCAACAGCTCCAAGCTTAACTAGTTCTTTCTGCCCTCAATCTCAGGGGAGAGACAGCATCTCTCCCAGCTTCCATATCAGTATTTAAACACCCAATTTGCAGTATTTTCCCACGTGTACCCAAATCCTTTGCATCTAGTGGCCCTGGGTGCTCTGATTGGCCAGCCCAGAGCTTGTGCCCACCTCGGTGACAGACGAGGCTTGACTGAAGTTCCACTAAGTGCAGGCTGTGCACTTCCAGGGAGGAAAAGATGCTGGGAAGAAAAAGAAATAAAGAGGTTTACAACATTCCTAATCACCATTTCCTACTTCTAACTGCGTGTTTTGGGGGTTTCTAGGCTGAGGAAGCTCTGCAGAAATATTTACAATCCAAGGAGACTGTGAGTAATACCATCCTAGAGACAGACCTGGCTCTCACAATGAAGGAAATAGAGATGGAAGGTGAGAAGGAAATGGAAGAGAAGCAAGATAGAAATTGCTGCACATTTTAAATTAACTTAGCTTGGTTCACCTGGGATCACTAAACTAGAGCAAGAATGGCAAAGATTATTCTTAGCTCCTCAGGATGTATCTGAGTAGGGCATGTACTCTCAGCTGCAATACCCTTACCTGGAAGGGAAAAATGGCCCCCCGGGAACTTTCTCTATGAAGTAACAGCAACAAAGGAGAGTGGGAGGCAGAAGGAAGGGGCACTTAAATCCTAAAGAGGTTTGTCATTTTCTTCTTTCTCAGTGGCACTTGTGAAGGCAGAGGCTGCAAAGGCTCAAGCACAGAGGTTGGAGGCAATTCAAAGGAGGAACCAACGAATGATGGAGGAGAGGGAGAGACTCCATCAGGAACAAGTGAGACAAATGGAGATGAACAGAGCATACCAGCTGGCAGAGTATCGGAGGGCCCAGGAACGTCGGCTCCAGGTATGCATCAATTATTTCATCTCAGGATTGTAATCATATCTCCCCTCTCTATGCTGATGAGAGCATGAAGCAGTGATAAAGGGGGAGAGGCAGCATACTACTGTGGCTCAGGGCAAGGGCTCTGGAGTCAGACAGCCCGGGTAAGCATCCCAGCTCCACCTCTTACTAAATACGTGGTTTGGGCAAGTTATCTATCTCCTCTATGCCTTAGTTTCCACTTGTGGAAAACGGAGATGGTAATAATACCTATTTTGTAGGGCTATTTTGATAATTAAGTGAGTCAATACTTGTGTGTAGAAACTACAAATAGCTTGGCACAGAATAAATGCTGCAATTTGTTAAATAAAATCCAAGGACATGTCTAACCCACAGTAATTAGTCTTTTTTGTTCTCTTGTTAATTGCTCTAAGCAGTCTTTTCCTTTGGTCATAGATTACCTTGTTAAATTAATTTTATAATGCTGTGTCTATGCTCCTGTCCTTGCCTTAATTGTCGCTGGTTCTGAAGGCCTTTAACTTGCAGAGTTTGTTTCATCCAGTCCTTTATTATTATCATCACTCAATAAGCAGTAGTTCCTATTTACCAAGCACTGTACAAAGCACTTTGCATGTGCTTTCTCTCATCTAATCTGTTCACTGAGATGCAAAACCATTATGTTCCCATTTTTCTGATTAGAAAAATTAGGTTCCAAAGAGATAACTAAATGCCAATATCACACAGGCTGGCAAGTTATCAAAACTACCTTTCCAGTGAGTGGGATCTGCAATGTTTTTATTTCTGCAAATCTGGGATGAAATTCTTATGTGAGCACCCCTATGAGACAGAGGGCACCCTAGCCCTTCTCCAGGGTGGTTAGTCTACTTGTAGGTCCCAGTTTTCCAGGTACTGCTTCAAGACATTATTGAGATTACAGCCATGCACTGAAGGGCAGGATGCTCAACCTGAGGTTCCTGATCTCCTCACTTTTTCCTTCTACTTCTGCCCCATAACTGTGGAGATCTGGAACAAACTCCCTTATCTAAGGCTCAGACTCCTCACCTGATCGTGGCTGTCACCCAGACATCCAGTTGTTTTATTAGCCTCTCATAGAACTAGATTTGACATTTCTCTGTGTATAAATGAGAACTGAAATCAAGAAGTGATTCAAATTGCCCAAGAAGGAAGGGGGAAGGGGCCTCAGGATGTAATTCTTGGGACAGAAATATGTCAGGGATTGAAAAATGATGATGATTCTACAGCTAGAGAAAGAGATATGGGAGAATTATACAAGTAGGAAGCCACAAATGAGAGAAAAAATGGACATGAACAGAAAGGAGGAATTCAGGGAATGTCTTTTGTTACTGATTGATTAAAATAAATAAGGAAAAGTCAATGATTTGAGCTGTTTTTAGCCCAGTGATCTGGACATTACTTTTCGCTAAGCTCTCTGGTTTTATTTATCACACTTTAGGAAGAGGCTGAAAAGCTCACGCAGAAATACCAAGCTGAAAGCAAAAGACTTCACAGTGAGGTCCAGCATCTCCAGAGGAATGTTACCCCACCAGATGATGACGCATGTATCTTACTCTAAAGAGCTAAACATCAGAACTTCCTTTTCTTGTTCACTTTCACTGAAGACAAAAAGGAACAAGAAACTATAGAACTTGGGACAATCACCATTTAAATAAAGTTCATAATAATTATATTGAACTTTTGTACTGAGTTATAAAGTCATGATGTTCATAATTGATAAATGTGCATTTCAATAGTTCAATAGCTTAAATGATGATCACTTCCTTAAAGGGATTATGAATTGTATAAGAAGGGATATTTTAACACTGCCTCTATTTGGGAGTGATAATGGGCTGGTTCTATCAGGAGAAACTTTCTCTTGTACCCCAATGCCACCCCTCTAATTTTTCATATTTGTCTCAGGGGGGATTTGACGTGACCTAGGGGGCATTATGGGCTAAGTCAAGTGGAACTTGACCAAAGTCTTGAACTCAGGTGGGCATCACTCCTGTCAAGTAGTCATGTGCTGGATGCCATCAGAAGGAGGCACTAATGGTAAGGACCACTAACCTAGTTTCTTAGTGAGGATAATGGATGGTTCTCAACTGGGCGGAGGCTGCTCAGTGTATGGGCAGTGATGTGATTCCTGGTCATGGTCAGTAGACACTCTGCTTAGAGAGATTCCAAGCTGTAAGCAAATAACATTGTAACAAAATAGAGGTGCTCCAGAAGATGGAAGGAACTACCAGCACGGAAGTGTGTCATAGGCTGAAGGGCTAAAGAAGCCTTTTCCTTCTTGTTACCCTCACCAAGGGCATAAATTAAATAGGACATTTTATATCATGAATCAGTTTATATTGGACTTAATACTTGTGTGTTGTGTCTTTATAATCCTATAAATAAATGGTATAAGGAATGCTACATAATGTGCCAAAAAATCTGATAGGGTTCATTTAATTTATACTTGCTTACAGTGCTAAAGTTAAATGATCTTAATTCTTTGCAATAATATATGAAAGCCTACCAATTTTTCTCAAAAACTATGGATTATATAAATAAATTTGTTTGTACATATTTTTAATCATAAATAACCATAATTTTTTTTTAAAGTAACTCTACTACTTTGTTTCTATTTTCTCCAATAGTTAAAAGTCTGCATTTCCCTAAGGAGATTGAGAATTACTCTTAAGAATTACTTTAAGACTAGAAATAAAACACTTTTTTATTTGTTTTTTGTTTGTTTTATCTCCAGTAAAATAGATTTTAAAAAATACAGAAACGTTACACAGAGTTCTATTTTGTTTCCCTTAAATTGCTTACTTATTTATATAAGGAATTTCCCATTTGGGTTATATTATAGGAACTTGAACTTTTTTAGTTGCTCAAAATATGATTTACTTATTTACAGAAGAAAAGCAGATAAATTTTAATGTCTGTCCTCTTTTCTGTTCCTTGGAGACTTTTACCATGTGGAACTTCCCATATCAGATAGGGTCTAGTGCTGCTCAGCTATACTTCGAGACTTGAACTGAACCTCAGAAGATATCAAAGACCACAGCATATTTGGCTGAGCATTTTCCTAACAATACTCTATTATTGCCTTCGCAAGCTGTACAATTCATGAGGATAAAATAAAGTACATTTTAATATCCAAGGACATGTCATGGTTCAAAAGAACAACTCCATCTTCAAATTAAATATTGATTTTATTACTACCTTTCTTATAGAGATTAAAAAAAAATAAATAAAACAACTTGAGACTAAGCAAAATTAAGTCACTTATCTAAGGTTCCAAGCTTGGTACTGTTAGCTTAGACCATATTACAAAGCATCTGATTTCCAGTCCAATACTTTTTCTACTATAGCTTCAGGAAAAAAATAAAGGCTTTCTCCTCTCTTTTAGAACTTACATGTTGCTTTCACCAGTGGTCCACAAACATTCTTCCCCACCAGCATACCTGGCTCCCACTCACCCCCAAACATTCTGATCTCATATGACAGAGGTGCTCACTGAGTATAAAATGACAAGAAAAGTCACTTCAAGGTGAACACCGATAGTTTCCTGAAGCTACCAAGAACTAGACTACATTTTCGGACCTTTATAGTGCTTCTTTTGTGAGGTCAACTGATTAAGTTTTAAATGCAATGAAAAGGCAATGAAAGGCAAGACACTCCCCTAGAGCCTCCATAAGGATGGCAGCCCAGCTAACACCTTGATTTTAGCCCTGGGAGACTTCTGACTTCCAGAACTATAAGATAATTATGTTGTTTTAAGTCACTGTTTGTACTAATTTGTTACAGCAGCAACAGGAAACTAATATATTTATTAATTATATAATAATATTATATCTTTATTAATTAACATTATCAACAGTTATTAATACTAGCTAATATTTATTCAGGATTTATTATGTGCCAGTTATGAGCACTTTAATAATTCATTTACTGCTCATAAAAACATTGATTATTATTTTATTAAAATTATTATTAACAATATTATTAATATAATTTGTTACCATTATTATTATTAAAGTTGTTATTATCTTCTTTGTGAAGTTGAGGAAATTACGGCATTAGAATTAAGTAAATTGTCTAAGGGCAATGCCACAGATGGCATTTTGACTCTAGACTCCCACACGCATCATCTTGTGATACTCTCTTTTGAGTCTTAGGAAAACATAGAAATATTGAATAATATGTTAAAGATTAGGAATGAAGGCTACAACAATTAAAATAGAAAGCACAGTTCCAAAACAGTTTAAAAGGATTTAACACACAAAAAAACCAGACAAAGAAATCCCCAAAAAGAAGTGGAGAAAGTATGGTATTGATTCTTGAATAAACTGATCATCTACAGAACAGAAAGCTAAAAAAAAAAAAGACTGTATGGGAGTTATGTAGGTTAAAGATGGACTTCTTAATAGGTTGAGACAAATGGATGGCCATTTGGAAAAAAATCAAATTGGATCCAGACCGCACACAATACAGTAGAAAAACCTAAATTGATTTAAAAAATTAAAAATATAAAAATATAAAAATTCATTTGAAGAACCAAATGTATGTAGCTAATCTCCCAAATATATAAAGAGACCTTGAGAGGAAAAAGACAAAGGATATGAACAAACAATTCACAGAAAAAAAAAAAATAGCATATAAAGCTATGAAAAGATACTCTACTTTAATCATAGTAAGAAAAATGCAATTGAAAGTACATTGAGAAATCATTTCTAGTCTATCAGCTTGGCAAAAGTTCACAAGTTTGACCGTATATTCTACAGGCAAGATTACAGAGTGGTGGACACTGTTTTACATTGCTGATGGAAATGAAAATTGTTTCAATATCCAAAAAGGGGAATCTTACAGTTTCTATCCAAATTATAAATTCTTCTGGGTATCCATTCTACAACAATTCTGCACTTGTATGATCTGTGTATATACAAAGTCATTTCCTAAAGGCAATGTTTGGAATAGAAATGAGAATCAACCCAAATATCCATCTATAAGTAACTGCACAAAGAAACCATAGAATAGTAGACATTTGAATAAAGAATAAGAAAGCTCTCTGTATATTAATATGGAAAGAGCTCCAGGACATATTATTACATATAAAAACCAGTTGCAGTATATATAGTGGGTAGTTTGCTACCTTTTAAGTTAGAAATAGGGATGGAAATATTTTATATTTGTGAGTAAAAATGTCTGTATATAAACACATGTTTTTATTGCTGGTATTAGCATAAAAAACACTGGAAAGATAAACAAAATGTAATTAAGATGATTACCTATAGGGTGAACATAGACAGGGACAGCAGTGAGAATTCTCAATGTTATCTTCTAACCATTTTGATTTGGAAACTTGGACATATTACTCTGATGGGTCTGAAGACGCCCCAGTCATGTCTCCTGCTACAGGGATCATAACTTGCTACTGGCTCTGGCTGCTGTGCTTGGAATCTTGCATGACCTTTCTACAGAGGCCACACTTCTCACGGGCTATTCTCACCTCAGCCGCTGACTGGGCTGTACTGGAAGGTCCCAAAGGCTTCATGCACAGAGCTGGTACCTTGAGGCTCCCCCTCACACCATTTCTGTCTGTGGCTAACGTGGGCCTCTGAACAGCATGGCACTCTCAGGTGGCTGACTTCCAAGACAGAGCATTCCAAGCAGCGAAAGCAGAAGCAAAAGATGTCTTAAGACCCAGTCTTGTACTCAACACCACTTCTGCTGCATTCTATTGATCAGGATAGGTTACAGGGACAGCCCAGATCCAAGTCCAGGAGAAATGGAATCTACCTCTCTACGCAAGGAGTGACAACAAATTTGCAGCCATTTTTAATGCATCACTGATGCATCTACAGAGAAAAGATGGTGATTGATCTCAGCATTTAAAAATTAAGTAAGACCGAAGCCAATCTGCTCTTTGGAATATTGAATGTATATAGAGACAATTGCACTGTTGAGAGACTTCTTATTTCTCAGACTCACAAACTACTGTAAAGACTGGTTCAAAGAACCAAGGAATCAGAGGTTACTCCTTAGCTCCTGCTAATATTTACTTTTGAATTTTTATTATTTTAATTAAGGCAAAACCCCAAATTATATAAGCTTCACGATATCAAAATCCAGATACACCTTAGAATAAGCAGAGAGAAAATTGAGAAGAATATGCAACAAAATCATGGTGATTATCTCTGGACTGTAATATTAGAGGTTTTATATATGCACAGACATATATATATTTGTATTGTTATGAAAAAAGTATTCATGTTAACTACAAGAGTACTTTTTAAAAAGGTGTGGAGAGAGGAAAGGAAAAAAAAAGAGTAAGTAAAAATTACAGAAAAAAAAAAAGCAAACAAACTCATTCAAACAACAAACAGAAAAACCACTAACATCTTTCCTGACAAAGTACCTCTAAGAGACAGGCTGCTGAAATATTCTCAATCTACTGTTACTTGGCTCATATTTACGCCTGCCGCTCTGTATTTATTGTGCAGCCAAGGAAATGTGAAAGCCAACTGTGAAAGAGAGATGGGTCTGAGTTTCCAAAGCCAGGTGTAGAGAAACCGATAGGACTTGCCACCGAGAGGACTTGGTAAAAAACAGTTGAAACCTCAACGGTTAAAGACAAAAATAGCGTGTCTCCTTCGATTTCGGTTCTTCTCACCTCTATTACCGGTTGGCTGTAATATCCGCCTTGCTTTTCAGCTTCTGAAGAGAACAGTCGATATCCGGAGGAGCCAGACGCAGCAGGAGCGCGCAAGGCGCCAGCGAGGGCAGCTGAGAACTTGTCCCCTGACTGCAGCGTCCGAGCCACATAAATTCGCTCCTAAACTTTACCTTCCATGCACATTTCCATTAACTAACAACAACAATTGCCCAAGCGCACACTCCACAATGACAGGCGCAGACTCCACACCAGCGGGTAGGGAAGGCAGCGGGAAGGCAGCACGGGCGCCCGATGGTGTGTGGCTTGCGGGCGCTTTGCTCTGGGCAGCTCAGCGTGTCCGCTCGGACCCGAGGCGGTTGCAAGTTTACAGCGCGGGCACCGCGTCCTCGGGATGCGCTGCTCCTCCTCCGGCATCCACCCAGGGCTGCACAAAAAGCTTTGCATGGAAGGAGTGCATCCTACTCTCATTTGCAGAAAGAGGGCTTAAGTCCTTTCTAGGACTGAGGGACCAAAATCCAGCCCTTTTGCATAAGTGTTCGACGGGGTCGCTTCTTCTCACCACCCGCTCCCTTCTTCAGACATTTCCTGACTGCCTCCTGCCGGGCATTGGAGAAACAGAGGAAAGATAGTCCTTACCTTGCAGACAGTTTAAATCTCGGAGACTTGTTTCTTGCTTATTTTCGTATTAACTATATTTAATTCCATAGATTCTACAAAGCTGTATTATATGGAATAATTCAATCTCGTTTACACTCACCAACTGTTAAAAAATAACTGTAAAGTTTACTTCTGTTTGCTTATCACACACTTTTTAAATGCATGGTCCATGCACAAACTACATTAGCATTACCTCTGGTACGTGTTGCAAATACGAATTTGGGGCATTTTTAATCGTCACTCTAGATGACTCTTATGGACAGTAACTTTTGGAAACTGTTGATTGTCTACTCAATCTAATAGAATTATCTCATTCTACTTGTTTAATTTGGAATTAAAATCTTCTTTGCTTGGATATCTCAGTCCTCCTTTACAGTTAAAAAAAAAAAAAAAGCAAGCAAACAAAAATTCCCAAACCCACACCTTTGTGAGTTCATCCACTCTTCCTCAAAGCTTTTTGAAATATTAACTCTAAGGAAAGAACTCTTCAGTTTCTCCTGCTATAACACACCAGGAAAAGATTCATGTTTTACTCCATACTGCCCCCCAACAGCTAAAGTAAAATAAGATTTATTGTACAGAGGAAGTCTGTTAAACCAATAGACATTTTTTTTCTGACAAAAAGATTTTCAGTTAACCTAGATTTCTTGGTATTTTACAGCTTACAGGACTTATTGACACATATGAACTCATGGCCGCACTTGCTCATTGGAGAAATAGTATATTAATCCTGGAAAATTAAAAATAATTTATTAAGAAACTATTTGTTATTAACCTGTACTCTAATGAATTAAGAAGGAATAATTGTTCCACCATAATATTGATAAGAACATTGAGGCTTCTAGAGGCGAGATCCTTTTTCATGCTCTCATAGGCAACAAGTGATTTGAACCTAAGGTTTGAACCCTGACAGCCTGCTTCCAGAATCTGAGCCGTGACAGCCCTAGACGGCTCTGGGTTCCTCTTACCTGACTCATCCTCCGTCGGTGCCCTTCTAGTCAGCCTTTCCTGATGGTCCTCTCCTGCCTCCTCTTCCTCCTCACCAGATGTGCCCTCCCCTTACCTCTTCCTTCTTCTCTCAAGACCACTCTTCCATCCAGCGCCCACAGATTCACTAAATATGTCCTCATTAAGATCATAGATCACCTTCATTTTGTCTTTTTCTCAGAATACTCTCCATATGAACTCAACCCCCAATACTCTCTATCCCCATTTCCTGCTTATTTTCTCCAGAGCACTTCCCATCACCTAACATACATATATTTTTGGCTTTTTTTGTTTTGCTTATTACCCATCTTCCCCTACTAGAATAGAACTCCATGAGGCAGGAATTTATATTCATTTTGTTGAATCCTGGACACTGAGCGTCTAGAACAGTGCCTAGCACAAAGCAAGTATTCAGGGTGTGCTTGTTGACTTAATGCATAATGGCAAACCTAATGGTATATTTGATCCTTCTCTTACATGAACTCCCTGAATGTATTTAATATTATTTAGTCACTACCTCCTTCTTGATACCCACTCCTCCTAGGCTTCTGAGGCATGTTCTCCTTGAACTCCTAGGACCTTCTCTGACTAGTCCTCAGTCTCCCTTGTCCTATTCTGTCTGTAGTTACGTCCAAAATGTTAGTCTTCTCAGAGCTCCATAATTAGTCTTTTGCTTTTCTCATTCTATTATTTATGCATCCTCTGGGCAAGGTGTTATGAACACATTCTTGCACTTTCAATGCATATACTATAGTCTTACAGATATACAATGAAAGTATGTCTAACTTTCCAGGCAGAACTTTCTCCTGAGCTGCACATCAGTTCAAGGTAGCAATGTTTATTTAGTGTCTTGAATGAACTGAGAATTGACTTCACATAGCTGAGCAAGATAGAAATAGCCCCTGCCCCCCTCAGCTTACTGTCAGGAGATACAAATGAGCATGATGAACCATGGGTAAATGCTTTTCTAGCAGGAGATACTTGAATTCAGGGGTTACACAATTCCATTGGAATGTTCCGTGAGTATACAAGAAACTAAACACGCTCAGAAAAAATTCAACATCCACTGAAAACATAATGCTATGATTATTTTTGTTACTTTTTGACATCTACTTAGTTATTCAAGTCAAAAACCTACAAGTTATTTACGTGTTAATCCTTTAAATCATTCGATATGCTGTTTCTTTTCAATTTTAACTCTCTACCTTCATCATCTTTACCAACTTGCCTCTTTTAGAAACTTTTCTTGGCTAAGTCTTTCTTCAGTGATATTAGATTATCTTTCTTTTTACTTAGACACTATCCTGTGCATATATCTATCATGCTGCTTTCTCTGCTCATGGTACAATAAATGATATATTGTCTATCTTCTCCAATACAATATAACTTCTAGCGATATTTGTCATTTCTGTGGCAAAGACTGCTATTTATCTTCCAGTATCCATTCTCTTATTCTCTCATTGTAAAAGAACACCTGATTTTTACCAGGGAAAATGTAACACAGGTTGCATTTACAATTAAAAATTAGAATTTCTAATTTAACTAGAATTAGAAATTACAATAGAGAGACTAAATGCCCTGGCCATTTAGTCTGGCCAGATAGTCTTTACAGATAGTCTGGCCATGAGATGTAATTCTAGTCAATGGATGTAAGCAGAAGTTATTATGCATAATCAGTCATCCAGAAAATGTTCTTAAAGGGAGGGGACATAGCCTCTTTCTTCCATTTTTTCTTCTGCTAAATAGAAGGTACATGTGATGGTAAACCATCTTTGACCATGAGGTGGCATGTTAAAGGATAGCTGAGTAGGATAAGAAAGAAACCAGTGCTTTTGTTGACTTTATGAAGCAGAACCATGGCTTTTCGACTCTTATAAGAGAGGGAAATAAAACTTTAGACTGCCCAAAGCGAGCTAAGGGGGTGCATAGTGTCTATGAGCAGGCTGCACAGGTCAGGGTAGATATAGACCTGGAATAGGGCGAGTCTTTGGCAACGCCAGGTCACAGGAGCTGACTTTTAGGGGTACAAGGCATCTGCCTAATTCCAAACACTAACCTACACAGCTGCACATATCCCCACTAAAGGCAGAGCGGGAGGAATCTGGACTGCCTTGCCAGGCCAAGGGCTGGGTGGGCTGGACCAGGTATCCTCCAATAAGAGACACTTGAGAACCTTGGTTCCTAGAGAAGCCCAGGACACCATTAGGCAACAGGTCCACATGGGGACTGACTAAACCAGTTTAAAGCTGCTGCCTTTAGAAGGTACTGTGTCAATTTTCAGGGAGCCCACCCCTCCACCCTGGAGGCTATGCAGGTGGTTGGGGACAGCCCGTGCTTCACAGGCCTGTAGGGCCCCGGCTCCCCAGGGCCAGCTGATGGAGTGCTTACTGTGCATGCGTGGGCTACAAAGGTTAGGGTAGCCAGGGATCTGGCACAGGGCAAGCATTGGAGAGTCTGGGTCACAGGAACAAGCTCTTAGGGGAACAAGATGTCTACCTAATCTCAAGCCCTACCAGCTATTGGGGCTCAGAGCTGCCCCCCCTAAGATATTCCATAGTGGCATATTGATTATTTTAAATTAAAGTTACTTGAGAAACAGCTGGTGCAAAAAAAGGCTCTTCGACCCTTTTTTTGTCTCCCCCTGAAAGCAGAAAATAAATCTCCAACGTGAAAATTTACCCTCCCTGCACCAGGAGGTAGAAAGACATCCTTATTGCTGGAGGGAGGAAATTCAGAGCCGAGAAGGCTGTGTGAACAAACTTTGCTTAGATTCTTCACTAATTAAACACCCAAAATTAAGTTTCTTTACCTTGTCAATTCCTCATCAATTTATTGTGTCTTTGTCTAAAAGGTATAAAAGCTGCCTGCCTTAGTCACTTCTTAGGTCCCCTTTCAATGCGACCTCCATATGTACAAATTAAATTTGTTGTTATTTTTTCTTCTCTTAATTTGTCTTGTGTCAATTTAATTATTATAACAGCCAAAAGAATTCAAGAGGGGTAGGGGAGAAATTTCTTCCTCCCCAATGCTACCCATTGGAGAATATTCCCTCTGAAGCCCGGGTTACAGGAGCATTCTCTTGGGGGTAAAAACATCTGTCTAATTCCAAGCTCTAACCTACACAATGCA